AACGCTTTATAAGTTGCGAAATTAAAATGAAAATGTATAACATAAATTGATTTGATATGTGTAACATGTTCAAGCAGAAATGGTAGCAAAATGATCATTTAAATGCTATTTGTCCTAAATGCATTTAGACTAACAGTTAGAACACTTAGGATTGCATTTTTATCATGACGCCGTGGGATATTTGTAGCACAATTCAATTTGAAAATGCATTCCGAGCTGACCACGCCCACCCTCCGTCAATTATTGCTTCAAGGCAGGGATTGGCGGAAGCGTGTTACGTTTGGATAGTTTGAAACATGGCGGCTGGAGATCTGATAAGATCATTGAATTCACTGGCAGATGAAGTGGAGCATGAACAGAGAAATATATGAAGCGTATTCCATGCTAAAATCAAACGTTCGAACGACCGACCGATCGAAGTCTATCCGAACGTCTTGAGCTTTGAGCGTCACACTGCGGGTGACCCACGTGACGCCAGCGTCTTGAAATTAGCTGGTTTTTAAACATTTAAGGAGCCAAGCTGCTGTGTAAAGACTATAAATGGACATTACAAGCATTACAATAATGATATTTTATACCTAAAATAATACTCAACCATTTCCTGCATCCTGCTGTACTTCCCTGAATAAGTCTTTAAAGGTGTTGTAGGCTAATAAGTCGTTCTGAGTAATAAATTGAAAAAGCTCCCACCTGTATATGACTAAACAAAATAACATGTAGTTTTTTCTCTTTTTTCCTAAAAATCTTTTCTCGGGTCTTAAGAGGTGAAAGTGGGGGTCAATTTTTGGATGGCTGAAATGCAGAAATGTGAAGATTATTATTGTATGAAAGAACCACTTACATTATTATTTGTTTGGTTAAATTTTAGAAAAGTATTTATAAAAAAATATTTGAGCTATAAAGATGCTCTTGTTAATTTTACAGTCATTTTAGGATTTTTGGTGTTATGATGTAAAACTGTAAAATTGGATATAACGTTGCACACTAAAATAATATTGTATACACGCATCTTGAGGCTATATGATTGAAACAGTATTTTAACTGATTGGCCCCCCATTTACTTCCATTGTGTGCCTCACTATGACCCAGAAAAGAAAAATTTGTATTAATACGTTACCAGTGGTTATACATTAATTTTGTTTGATTAGAATTACAAAAACACTTTCAAAAGCCAAATAGGGCTGGCTCGATACCACATTTTTAGAACCGATCCCGATCCGATACCAGAAATTCTGAGTGAACCGTTATGTATAACTTGAATTTAACGACTTAAATATTCATCTGTACCTCACATTATATGGTCAGAAATTTTTTTTTTCATGTCTTTACATTGTTTAGAGCATTAAAAAAAATGTAAAAAATGATATTTCATTCATAAGTTATGCTATGTCCTCGGTAGAGGACATCGGGACTCAATTAAAAAAATACAAATAAAAAGACATGAATGAACATAGGCAAAAACAATAGATTTTTTAAAATCACCAATACATTTTTAGTTTTCAGGATTTTTTTTTTACCAAACTTTGTATAAAGATGATTCTCAACTATGTTATAACAGAATGATTTGATATACCATTTTTCTTTCTGCAAAATGCGTGTAAAATGGCCATAAACGGGTTTTCTCATTATATACAATGTATCTATAAACTAAATCTAATTTGCATATTAATGTGTTTTTGGGGCAACGTAATGAAAAAAGAAGTGTAATAATGGGAGTAATATTTGACAAGATTTTCATAATAATATATAATATTTCATAGAATATTGAAACATAATTTCTTTCCCTATTCATTTGTTATGTCTCCCAATGTGCTAATAAACATGCTTTTAGTCCCAGTGTCCTCCTATGAGGACATGTTTGAAATCAACATCCTGTTTCGTAACAGAAAGTCATATTTTGATTTGAAACCCCATAACATTCTCCTGAGATGTTGATTTATGAAATACACCAAAATATAATGTCCTCATATGAGGTCACAGGGTCTCAGGAGGTTAAGGAAAGAAGGAAATTTTTTTATTTCTTTCTATTAAATAAAAACCGCAAATTCTGAAACAAATTTTTGTGATAATATTACACCACATATGATATTGATTGAGCTCAATTTGTGCTGTACCCAACACTCCTTTAATGTATTAATAGATTACCAGTAGTTACACATTGATTTTGATTGACATGAATTACAAAAACACTTTCAAAAGCCAAATCATCATTATTCCCAAAGGATGGTTTATAAATAACATACTGCTATTAGATATAGCTTTACGGAGCTTATTGCTCAAACAGATTCAGTTTTATAGACAAAAAACGTAGATTATTACAAATTCTGATTATGTGTCTGACTTGCATTTAAGCAAAAGACACTCTGGCAGTTTTACAGATGAACAATAAAACACTGACAATCAGACTTCATTCATATTTAAAGGGCTTGCACATTTAAAACAGCAGACAAAATTGCAGAGAAGCTCTGCACAGAAAACAGAGTAACATAAAATTACCTCAGGTATCCAGTGCTGGTTTCGACAACATTGTCTTACCTCCTTTAAAGTTGCCGTACAAAAGACAGCATATTGTTTTATTTCACTACATTGACTGCGTTAGCTAAATTCACTGTTAGAGATCAGATAGATTACATTAGCTACATTCACTGTCGCGCTCGAAACACAGCATGCTACAAGAACAGCAAAACCTGAAAACCCCAAAGCATCTGTTCTTCCTTTTTTTGCGAAACGTAAGCAGCAGCAGGTCACCTACGTCCACTTTCATTGATTTGAAACTCAGCGCACAAGCTTACAATAAACAGACCATTGTCATTCACTGGTGTGGACACAAATATAGTTATCATTGTAGTTATAGTTATCGTTATCGCTCGGTGTGAACGTGCCTTACAAACATACATAACACAAATATTAAAAATAGTCAAATGTTTATATGAAATGAAATTTAAGTATTTTAGACGTTTCTCTTGATTTATTTGGCATGTTGGATTTGTTTTCATTTAGCTTATAGCAGTGCATTCTGGGATTGCATCCGTTGTGAAGTTTACTTGTGATAGTGGCTTAGAATTAGATTTTTAAATGAGGCGTCTTAGAAAGTAGCACCATTTTTCTGCCTAAATTCTGCTAAAGTATTTTGCATAGATCTTACTGTGAATGATCCATGTGTGCATTTCATTGTTTTTAAACTTTTTTTGACCTAGTCATAATGTTTAATCAAAATGACTTCTCTTTGGTGATGTATGCCGGACATCTCCATTCATTTAGTCTTCTTAAATAAACCCTTCACTCATTTTTGAGTGAACACCCACATGTCAAAATTCAATCATTGGATAGAGGCAAGTCTTCATTCTACATTTTTCCCCAGTAATTCTGTTACATCACACAAAAGAAAATATCTGTCACTACTTCTGCTTCATTGTGACTTATAGCCAAGGAGCTCACAATGTTTGTAACACCGCTATAGATTTGAACTTGCTCATAACATGTATGATTGCAAGACAGAGTATCATGTCAGCCTTCAAATGTTTTAGGCTAGATCTCTCGAAAAGTCATAGCAGGCTTGTGAACCGTTATGTATAATCTCGTAGTAAGGTTTGCGTCCACAGTTGGTGAAGTTCCTTTGCTCAAGTGCCAGTAGATGTTCCACAAACAAGTGTCGTCTGGGAATTTTCCTAAAGGTCCACTCCCATCACTCCTAAACCAAAAGGCAATGCCAACCAGTACACTGTTGGTGCAGGCCATCCACAGAAGATTGACACTGGCATAAGCTGGCACCACAAAGCCCACCAAGGCACATACCAAACACATCAAAAGGTAGGGCATCCAGTTCAAAGCAAATCCTAGAGTCAGACTGACAAATAGAGGAGGGGAACTTTCTTGAATTTCAGAATTGCCACATCCCCCAACCTGACTGTACAGGGAGATTTGATCTTTCTCTGCCAGTTTATTGGCTCTTCTGATCCAACCAATCATCTTCTTAAAATAAAGCAGTAGTATGAGGACCACTGCAATAGATAACTGCATACTAAATTGAAACACTACACTAGATCCATGAACGCGACACACCAGGACTCTCACGTTGTCTTTGTAAATCTCCATAGGTTGCGTGTCCGTGTAGTTGTAGGTGTAACCGCACGCTAATGTCCACATAAGCACAACCACAATGCAGTAACTTACAGCCCTGCGCTGAGAGCTTGAGTTAACGTCTAGGTATGGGTAGCTGGCATAGTCAAGCGCCCCAGCGATGAGTATGGGTAGAGGAAGCAGGGCGTAGACAGCCGATCCATGCGCCAGGATGAAGCACATCGAGGTGGAGGTGGGAAGGTGTTCTTTGAAGAGCCACGCGCTGGTGACAGCACTGACCAGCAGCATGTCTGCCACGTACATAGAGATGCTGCAGAGCCCCAGGAGTGACCTGAGAATGCTGTGCCTCCAGAAAGACAGAACTAATGTGTTCAGAGCTACTTTGGAGCACAGAATGAGCAGGTACTGCAGGGTCTCATCATGGGGAAAGTCCTCATTTATTCCCGGGGACCAGATGACAGCCATCATGATCGCTGATGGTGTTATCCTTTGGTCTCAATTTACTCTGAAAACACAAAAACAGATTGGTCAGAGTTAATAAAATACACCTCCCATTGTTAGTGACACTAAGCATATGTTTTGAGTGTAAAATTCATCATATGGATAGTGGACCAATATAAAATTACGGTTTAGACAGCATGATTATTAAAGGGATAGTTTGCCCAAAAATGAAAATTACCCCATGATTTAATCACCCTCAAGCCATCCTAGGTGTATATGACTTTCTTCTTTCATTTAAATGCAATCGGAGTTATATAAAAAAGGGGTCATGAACTGAGAAATCAAATTTCCATTGATCTTTTGACATATAACAGGTCAATGTACTATAAAAACATCCTGTAAGTTTCAAAACTCAAAACTTTCTCGTTAGTTTAAAAACCGCTTTTATTGAAACCAAGCTCAGAAAACCACTCGTTTTGGAATGTGCCACTTTATGACATAATAGTGTGGCTAAGCACCGCCTCCAAGAGAAGATCAACACCTGCGCATTTGCGACTGAAAACTACTGCGTGCGACTATGAAATAATATTAAATTACCCATTCATAAAGACAGTCATGTACTTCGTTCCTGAATGAATCAGCTGTTCGAACTAATCAATTGAATGATCACTTTAAGGATTCAAATATCACCTCGTAATGGGAAGGTTAATTTTTTATCAGAATTTATTACTGATTAGAAGGTGCTCCTAAATTTTTGACCGTTCTCCTAAATCTTTTAAATTAGGAGCACAAGCGCTCCTAAAAAGAAAAGTAAGCGTAGAGCCCTGCTGCTTCTACATCTCTGCCTCTTTAGCCCCGCCCACTGATACACACTTGTAGTAGGAGAGAAAATACTAGAGAGACGCAAACACAGGATTACTCCAGAACCATACAGACGACATGGCTTGCTTAGTTGGGGACACTTCATTTCCAGCGATATCGTTGACTTGATTGCACAGATACTATTTAAACTTATTTAAGCTGGATGATGACATCACTGAATTCAATGATGACAAAGACTATAGTGAAAAATTTGTATGTCACTCGTATAGTTTTGAATGGGGGGAAAATGCAACGCTCAATATGGCCGCTCTATCGAACGAAGCCACGCCTTCTGAGGAAAAGAGCCAATCGCTAATCGGTAAAGTCAGTGCGTCACTGCATCTGCATCTGAAACAGTCAGAGTTCTGAGACGTGAGCTCAGGACTGCACATGCGCACTGGCTTGTCTAGCCTGAAAAATACGCTTTTTTGACACTATTTGAGCAAAAGAAACAACACTTATGAGACTTCATATGAAATTTAATCTTAAGCTTGGCGAACAGCTTTGAAGAATTTTATGTTACCCCATTCAAAGAAATAGGAGCTGCACTTGCATGCCCCAAGAGGCGTTTCAAAGATGGCCGCTGAGTGAAATGGCTTTTCTTAAATGAACTTTGTTCTGTTTGCACCTATATCTTTATTTGTGCATCTTTAAAGTACATGATTGTTAGTTAATAAGCGGAGATGTTGTGTTTAGGACACGCTTCAACAACATATTTGCAATGTGCATCTTTGTCCTTATTTTTAATCTTTATTGTTAATCCTTAAATGTATATTGATGAGAAATGTGATTTATATAATTAAAAATGTGTATAGGCTAATTTAATTAAGTAATGTTCTACAGTTTTAATCGCTTTT